AGAAAAGAAAAGAAGCCTAAAATAGAATAAGAGGTGAAATGGGCCTAGCTTGCGTTCGGAAGAGTCCAAGGAGTAGGGATCCACCATTGATCTTGTGTGCGACTTAAATCTTTTTATATGTAAAATACATCTTTTTATACGCGAGTTGCATTTTCTTATGCTCAAGTAACATTTTCAGATGTGCAAGTTACATTTAAACTTCCTTCAACATGTCCAAATGTAATTAACTAATTACATTTGGGCTAATTAAATTACAACTGAATTAATTGACTTTTTTCTTTACCAATTATACCACATAATGAGTATATTGTATTTCATAATTATACACTATAATTACAACCAAAATCACTTTTTCTATAATATTTTTTTTTATATTTATACACTTTTTTGTAATATATTTTTCATATTCATACAATTTTTCTATAATATATTTCTTATCTCGTTTATATGTTTTTAGTGTTTTTAAGATATTAAGTTTGTTTATTTCAATTTAAATTTGATAGAACATGAGATTACATATTTCATATGTGGGTTTAAGTTTTCATATGTGTGAGTTATGTTTATAGACAATTTCTGGAGTTACATTTGATATTGTATATATGGAGTTACACATTTTCATGTGTGATTTACATATTCTTGTGCGCAAGTTAAATTTAGACTTGTCTCAAGTTACATTGTGTATACACCTAAACTAGACTTTCCACCAACTTAAAGTTACATTTTCCATAACACGAGTTATATAAGTCTTTGCTATTGAAATAAAAGAATCATTTTTTTTTGCAAAAAAAATACGGAGTATAATTTTTTGGAATACAACATGAGTTGCTCGTTGTTGGAATTAGGTCAGCCGTAACTTCAAAATTGAGTTCGTTTATCGTAAATGACCGAATTAACATTTTTATTTAATTAGCTTTTAACACTATAGTCAATGTCCAATGAACATTTTGCCTCCCAAATTTAACGTTAATTTTGAGAATGTTGTTTAAGAATGGAGCAGCGATGATAAAGGCAGAGAAAACTGCTTTTGATATGATCAAAAGTCAAAGCGTAGCATTTTTCAAAAATATAGGATGATATGTTCAAACGAGATTTATCATTCGATATCTACCCCTAATTTAATTAATTAATTAACCTAGTTAATCACCCTCTACCCTTTCATTAACAAGGTCAATCAGTTGGTGCCAGACTAGTCTGTGGTGCTGGCAACAAACTCCGACCGCGGCGCACAGCGGCACAGATATCTTGCGACGACAAGCGATGCTCCGGTGACCTGGGGCCTAGGCACAACATTTCTTTAGCACTTTCTATTTAAGGCATGGTAAATTATTAAGTCCCGTTTTTTGAAAAACTACTTTACACGCTCTCCGTACTACAATGAGTGTCTCATTTTTCTTTTTTGATTATATCAAAATAAGTTTCTCACTTTCACTTTAGAAAAAAAAATCCCCCCAAAAATAGTTACAATACACTTTAATAAAGTAAATAGTACAGCTACAATTAACAAAAATCTCATACTTTTTTAAAAAAGTGTACAATAAAATCAAATAAAACTTCATAATTTACGTGAAACGAGTGCTGAGATACATATTGTGATACACGGTATATAACAAATAAATCAAATCTCCCACTTGAAAGTTAAACAACCACTATGTTTAAGGTATTGTCATGAACTCATCATGTTATAGGTGTAAAAGGAGGAATAACTTATCAATGGATTACATGATTCCATCATAAAATTGATGAAGAATAAGAATATATTCTTTTGGAGTACAATTGAATTGCATAAATGCATGATGACCACTTTGATGAGTTTTTATACATTCTTCGGTGTTCATGAATTAAGATTTAGTGTGTGACACGTCAAAACCAGCCTCACGAGCTCGCATCCACTCATGTCTAATCTATGTCCCATCACAAAAAGCTTGGGTAGGAAATTAATACTCACTCCTTACCTTAAAACTTTCTCATTGGGACGTCCCAAAAAATTTTGTCACTTTCCTTTTTAATCAATTATTTTGTGGTTTTTGTTATTTTCTCTCTTCTGCACAAACCTCAACTACACAGTTTTTACTTTATTATTTTTCGTACCGATCAACTTTGGCAAAGTTTTAAGTGACGGGATAATATATTACTCCGTATGTGGTTTCTCTAAAGTTGAATTTAACTTTCTCTTCAATGTATTAAAATAATTTTTTCAATTTTACTCTGTATTATTTTTATCAATAGTAATAATACTTGAATGGTTTTTTAAATAATATTACTAAAATAAGTCATATTTACATAAATATGACTATTCATTACTACAAAATTTGAACATGAATTACTATGATTTCATTACTACTCTAGTCATTAGTCATATTTTTGTAAATCATTTTTATTTTGGTCATATATATGTAATTATTTCATACTTGAAATAGTTTTAACAATTAAAAATTGAGAATATTATCTGAAGTAGGACTAAAAAAGTTTAAAAATTCCAAAATAGAACTGACATGTTTTTATTCCCAAAATAAGATTAATTAATGTCATGTTTTGGCAGTAGCAGACTTCAAACATGACAGTATTTTCTAAACTTGGCAGTAAGTACTCCTATTTTGAGAATAAAAAACACGATTGTCCTATTTTGGAATTTTCAAACTGTTTTAGTCCTATTTCGAGAACTTTCCCCTAATTCTACTGATTCCTAATTAATTTTAATAACTAAAATATTTATTAAATTAATCTAATGACTTTACATATTTAGAAGCTAAAATAAATAATCTATTGAAGTGTTTTTCCCGTATTAATGTTAATCAATTAATTAATTAATTATGAAAATTGGGTTGGGTTAAAAGTATTTACCAATATACTGCTGGGTTAAAATTGTTTGGCGACTTATAAGTCGCCCAACCATTGGGCGACTTACCCTTAAGTAAAAACATCGACCAACCACAAAACAGGACGCTGCGTAAACCCAGTCCCCAAGCCCCAGCGATGAAGGACAAACGACGAACGACGACCGAGCCATTTCCTACTCCGGCGAACCTCCATCTCCGGTGACCCCACTCCAACAAACCTCCATCTTCATCTTCAACACTCTTTCTTCTTTCTTGTAGGTAAATCAAACTCCATTTCATCTCATTTTGAACTTAGGGTTTTGAATGTTAAAATTTTCGAATTTTTAGATTATGAATTGATTGTGAATTGAGTTGTTGTGAAATGTGGATATGTATGAAATGTTGAAATTTGATTTTAAATTGATTGTAAATTTTAAAGTGTATTTTGACATTTGGGCATTTGGGTACATTTGAATGTAGCTAAATTTGGGTATTGAAATGTAGACTTGAATGTACATATCAAAATTTGGGTATTTTCATATTGAAATGTGAGTTGTTTGTGAATTTTGACTTTTGGATATATTAGAATTTTGGTAGTTTTTCTATTGAATATTTGAATGTGTATAAATTATGTATATTGATGTCTACTCATGATTGTTGGACAATGAATTGTTATTAGAATATGAATTTCTCAAGCTTCCCAATCGTGTGTCATTGGGGAGGGAACTATTACGAAGATGTTGGGCAAATATGCCATGAAGGTGGTAGAACCACATTTGTCATGGTTTCTCGTGGTGCTTGCATGCTCGAGATCCTTCAAAAAATACATGCAGTCACAATGATTCATCCTAGCCGTTCTTTGCGTTTGAAAATGAAATTTCCCATGAACGTGGGAAAGTACATGCTTATGCCCCTCATTGATGAGCTAGCTATAACAAATATGTGGGGCATAGTTCAGATGGAGGACATGTCGATGCTGGAGATATACATTGAGGAATCCATATGTGACGCTTATGGTACTCCATCAACATCAAATGTTGTTGTATCTAGGCATTATGTCAATACAGGTGTGAATGCAGGGAACTCCTCAAATGCTCTTGTACTGCACATGGTTATACAGGAAGATGGCAGGTATTTGCACAACGGTACATCATTTGTGGATGGGCAGGGAAGTGATGATGATGCTGACGACAACATCAATGGTGATGACATGACAGAATCTGATGAAGATGATGGTGATACGGTCACGGCAACTGCCCCGTGTAGCCACTTTACTGGAATGTATGATCTCCCTGAAGGCTTTACTGATGCGTGGATGGGTGGATCAGGTGAGAAAAGGTTTACCCCCGAAGGTGAGTTTGAGGTCGGTCAATAGTTTGACAACAAAGAACAAGTCATCAATATGGTGAGCTTGTATTCTATCAAACGGAACCAATTTTATCGGGTGATAGAGTCCGATAAACACAAATGGGTGGCACAATGCAAAACGAAGAAAGAATGTAATTTCCCTCGGAGAATATGCGCCACAAAGAACAAAGGCAACCTTAACACCTTCACAATTGTGTGTTATCCTGGACCTCATTCTGCTACGTGTGTTGGGAACACCGACACTACCGATCACGTGGCTTTGACTTCAGATTTCATCTCTAAAGATGTGATTGACATTGTTCGCACTGATCCTTCCCTTAAAGTGCATACTATCATTGAGATGCTGAACGAAAAGTATGGTATACGGTATCATACCGGAGAACATGGTGGGGAAGCAAAAGGTCATAGCAGAAATATTTGGCGGTTGGGAGAAGTCATATTCTGAATCGCCCCGTTTCATGACAGCGCTCCAAGATTCAAATCCTGGAACTATTGTGCAGTGGTACCCACCCCCTAATACTCCCACAGGTTATATGCAGTTTCAAAGAGTTTTTTGGGCATTCAAGGCATCAATACATGGTTTTAAACATTGTCGACCCGTACTTACTATTGATGGCACACACTTGTATGGAAAGTACAAGGGTACATTACTATTACTATTAGGAAACGAGCTACGAACATGCATCTCCTGCTTGATACGAAGCAAAAACATTTACAAAAGGATCTATATTATTCCATGAATTTCAATTGCTAAGAAGCAATATAGTTTGCAATAAATCAAGAAACTAATCATTATAAGTTCGTATGAAACCATACCTTTTGATGGATCAATGGAAACCTAGGTCTTAGCACTTGTTTATGTCGTTCTAGCGTAGAAAGTACTACACCTCTACGGTGTGCACACACGATCGGATCAGACTTGCTCAATGTACTAGCATCCAAAAGGGTTTTCTCAAATTATGTTTTGTCTCATGTATGTGTGAGAACGGCCAGACCTATTAAGCTCTTAGGCTCCTCCTTTTATAGAGAACATAATGTAGAAAACCCTAGCAACAAACGAATATGGGTTTGAAATCATTCTGACCCAAACACTATCCGATTCTGATCCAAAACGTTTGAGTGTGGGACCCTATAGGTTTATATTCCTTTGGTAGTATAATTAAATACTCTTTTAATTATACAAATAAAAAGCGGTCTCTAGTAAGACATTATTATTATCCAAAGGATATAAAATTCAAAACGATACAACTTATAAATATATTATGTCACATATATATTCCTTTTGCCAAACGATATCTAGATTGAACACAAGACTAGGCGAGTGTCATTCTTGTATAGTCCAATCATTGTATCTTGATTTCCAAATATATTTAATACAAATGACACCTCATTTATGCATGGCCATGCTATAATTAAATATACTTATCAAGGGGCCCAAAGATATCTTCTCTCAATATATGAAAGTGACAAATCCCATCTTAACCAACCACATACATCTATATATTTCATAATACATTTGATCATTATCTTTATAGTTACTCATTTAGGAGTAACGTTTGATAATGTCTAATGTATTAATCCTTATATTGGTAACCATGGCGATCTCAGGTCCGAGGACAATATGATTTCACTAAAGGGAACATCACTGATGACATTTATAACATTTCCTTGCAGTGTTCACAAAACGGGTTGGTCAAATATTTGTTCACCAACAAGTATTAGTGTGTTTAGCTTGATATCACCATATCCATGACTTGTAGAACATAGTCATCAGCTAACCCACACTCTAATCAATATGTCTATGTAATCCTAGATTATAGAGATATGATTAGGGACATAGAATATTTTATGAAATGACTAGTATTCCACAACCAAGTCACATACTTGGTGAACTAGTAATAATAATATACTATATTTAAGAATATAAGGTGAAATAAAATAAACCTTATTAATAAGCATAAGATATCCAACTATAAGTCATACACATATGAATAGTTCTAGGGCATATCTCTTTCAGTCTCCCACTTGCACTAGGACCATTCATTCATGAAACGAATTCCCATTGCAGTGATATGTCTATCATGTTTGGATTGAGAAAGCGGCTTGGTCAAAGGATCAGCAACGTTCTCATCCGTGGGAACTTTGTACCTCACCATTACTTATAAACCCACGTATCAGGTGATAACGTCTTTAAATATGCTTAGACTTGTGGTGTGACCTTGGCTCTTTAGCCTGAGCAATTGCTCCATTGTTGTCACAATACAAATCTATTGGATCGGTGCTACTAGGAATGACATCAAACTCAGTGATAAACTTCTTTATCCATACTGCTTCCTTTGCTGCTTCTGAAGCAGCAACATATTCAGCTTCCGTTGTAGAATCAGTAACCGTGTCTTGCTTAGAACTCTTCCAACTCACAACTCCACCGTTTAGACAAAATACAAAACCGAATTGCGATTTGAAGTCATCCTTGTCTGACTGAAAACCCGAATCAGTGTAACCACTTACAACCAATTCTTCCTGTCTGCCATACACCAAGAACATATCCTTAGTTCTTTTTAAGCACTTTAGAATATTCTTGACAGCGGTCCAGTGGCCCTCACCAGGGTCTGACTGGTATCTGCTAGTCACACTCAGTGCATGTGCTATATCAGGACGAGTACATAACATGGCATACATGATAGATCCTATAGCTGAAGCATATGGGATTCTATCCATGCGATCTCGCTCATCTTGTGTTTGAGGACACTGAGTCTTGTTGAGTGTTATGCCATGTGTCATTGGCAAGAATCCCCTCTTAGAGTTTTGCATGCAAAACCTATTTAAGATTTTGTCAATGTATGTACTTTGGCTTAATCCTATTAGTTTTCTTGATCTATCCCTATAGACCTTGATCCGTAATATATAGGTTGCCTCGCCTAAGTCTTTCATTGAAAAACAATTTCCCAGCCAAGTCTTAACAGATTGTAGCATGGGAATATCATTTCCAATGAGTAGTATGTCATCTACATACAATGCCAGAAAGATTATATCGCTCCCACTGACCTTCTGTGACACTCCAAAAATTTAAATAAAAAAAAATTATTTTTATTAGTCAGATACAATGTTACAGAAATGACATTTGAATTATTAAGTGAGTGAAACAAAAATTCAACAGTCGTGACATTCTAATCAGATAAAATTTCATATTTACGACGCTTTAGTCAGATAAAAATATTTCAGTAATAGGAAACAACATTTTATTAAATAAGTGACATTTTATTTATGAAGTGAGTCAAACCAAAAATTTAACATTTGCGAAATTTTAGACACATAAAAATGGTCCGATAATAGAAGTAACGTTTTATATCAAGCACCAATTATACATATGGCATAAGTAATAATAGTTATTTTATAACTATTTTAACTTGCCTATAAAATACACAAAATACAAACTTGACTTTTCTTATACTAATATACTCCTAATAAGTAAAATATACCTACGTATTTGACTAAAATCATTCAAAACATGCGTATACTATGAATAAGAAGTTGAAAACAAAAAAAAAACTACTAAACCTACAAAGACTTCTATTTAGATCAGGAGTGTATCGTCCGTGCATCATTCAAACTCTAAAAGCCAAGTGAAGCCAACCAACAAAAATCGAATCTTCGGTATAACTAACGTAGCAGCCTAGAAACCTCATCTTTCCCTATAAATAATAGCCTAGAACCTGTGATTTTATTCATCCCGACGAAAACCTCTGCGGCATATATACATACGTATAAATATACTCTGTTTTTTTTTTGACCCTTCGTTTTAGCCCAAACCAAGCCCTTAAAATACTTCTCAAACCTTCCCCTTCGTGAGACGAATCCAACGGTGAAAGAATCGTAGAAAACGGTCGTGAAACGAGAGAGATATCGCTCGCCGGAGTTGCAAGTTGTGGAAGCGGGTCTTTATAAAAAACAGATATTTTGCCGTAGATAGGGGTGGAGGAGCTTCGTCTCGCCGCAAGGATCATTTTGCAACTTGAATCGTCGAAATCCGTTATCTGTAAGTCAAGTTATAGCTCGCCGGAGTTTTCTAGTTTCCGGCGAAGTCGCCGGAATCGACCTGGAGAAGATGACCCAGTTGTCTGGGTCAGAACTCTTGGGCCGGGTCGGTTTAATGGGCCAATTCGGCCCAGTTTTAATAAAAATTAAAAATAAAATAGTAAATCAAATAAATAAAATCTGGAAAAATATAAATTAAATACCTAGTATAAATATACATATTCGGACCAACCAGAATTGAAAAATAATATTTTTAGCTATTTTTAATTGATTTAATTGTAATTGGGCCAATTTATATACATTTAGTAAATAATTAACTAAATAACGAAAATAATTATGAAATAAATATTGGAGTAAACTAGGATAAATATATGACTAACTAGGACCTTATGGACCATTTATAATTAATAAATATTAAGATTTAGTATATTTAATTGTAATTGAACCGGTTAATACATATATGAAATTAAAGGAATAATTATGGAAAATAATTATAAAATAGATATCTGGACAACCTAGGTCAAATATAGACCCAAAATATAGTTATAGACGGTTATTAATTTATAAAGTCGATTCTTAGTCTATTTAATTTAATTGGGCCATATAAAACTAGTTAAGTAATTAAATAAGGGAATATTAATATTAATGGTGAAATAAATAAATCACTGAGATTGAAAAATAATATTCTGGACTAAAAATGATGTTGGAATAAAATAAGGAAAATAAAATAAGGTTGGATTAGCTAACATAAATAATTGACTATATGTAGACTTAATAAATAACTTAGTTATGTAATTAGTGGACTAATTCAATTAATAATTTTTATGATTTATTATTAGATATTCGGACTTCATATAAATATTTAAAATTTTTGAATTCATAAATTAATGGGTTAATATAAATAAAGTAATTAAATAATAATTTATGAGTAGAGTAAATTAATGGTGATTATTGAATAAAAATTGGATGTTGTGGTTAATTATATTCGGATATTTTAATTAATATTAGAATTCAAATATTGTAATTAATGGCTGAATTAATAAGGTAATTTGATTAATAAAAAATGATTAATCAAATAAATTCGAATAACTAATAAATTAAGTTAATAAATAAGGAAATAAAAGGGAAAAAATTGAATAAAATAATTTATAAATAGAATAAGTGACTAATTATATCATCTAAATTAAAAAGGTGCTCATTTAGAGATTGGAATTGAAGAAGAGAAGTAGGAGCATTTGGATTTAAGGTAAGTTTCACGTCAACCGATATTAGTTCTTTTTCTTCGTGATTTCTTTTACATATTTTTGTGTGCATATTTGAGAATTGAATTTATGTGTGCTGAATTTGAGTGAATATTATTATATGAAAGGGTTGTATTTGAGATATTAGTTGATGTACTGTTTTGTTGAGATAAATTATTGTATACGATTTTGGGATATTTTGTAATAGTACGTAATTTGTTATCTTTGTGGGAGTTTGATAAAAAGGGAATTTTTGAAGTATAAACTTCGATTGATTTAGAGAAAAATAAATATTTTTATAAAAGGTGAGCATCACGGGAGAAATCTGTGGTGTTGGTTTTCCACGTCCCCCAAAATGTGGAGGATGGTTAGGTCTACTACTACTCAATTTTTGTGGTTTTGGTTTGAGGTGAATTGACGGTCGGTAGAAAACATCCCGGCTTTTGAGTAGTAATGGTAGTAGTAGCTCCTAATCATTCAGGTTTTGAGGTGGGGTAGTTGGTAGAAAACATCCCGGCTACCCGGATCGACTTACTAACCCGGAGGGCTTGGAATACCTTTAGGGGGTGTGCACACTTAAAGTAGTTGTTTCCGTTTCCAAGGAGCAGTTGTGGTACCGGCGATAGTCCCGGGGTGGCCGTACCTAACAACGGACCACCGGGCTCAACCAAAGTGTTG